CCCTCATCATTTTGAGGCCATAGCTGAGGATGCAGAGGCCTCACTGTTAACTATAGGATCTCATTTTGTTCCCAAGCTCCCGTGGTTAGCACAGTGTCCCCATTTCATGTGTAGAGAAACTGGAGGCCTATGGAGATTGGAATACTAGTCTGTGAGAGGTCCAGAGCTTAAACTCAGGCTTGTGTGCTAGAAATGGGCCACCTGTACCATCAGGGAAATGACTTCCGGGACTTTCTGCAGCCCAGGAGGCCTGGAGCATCCCATCCACTTTTCTCATTTACCTGGCAGCACCAGCTGAGGTCAGTTCGGTGGGATTATCCCCACTTCCCAGGCAAGAAAAATGAGACCCAAGATGTAGGTCATGCCAGCAATTAGAAAAGCTCTGTCCTCAAACTAGAGCATGGATGCACTGGTGCTGGTTTGTGCATTCTGTGAGATTCTGCAGTGGCGCATTCATCTCCAGGCTCCAAGTGCTCCGCTGGGAGTGGCCCCACCTCCCCGGGGCTGGGTGCCAGGCCGACCATCTGCTCGGGGTGGCCTCCGCCTCTAGCCGCTCATTCTCACTGGCTTGGCTTCTGCGGCTGGGAGGAAGTTCCAGGGAAAAGGTCTCAGCCAGCCTCTCCTGCAACCTTGTTTTCTGCCATGGGCATTGCCGGGTCACATAAGTGACTCTGCGAATGTCGCTGGGCTGTTCTTCTCTGCTGAGGATGCAGAGGGAGGCAGGGTGGGGAGGCAAGGACCACTTTTCCTGGTCCCACTTGGGGCCTGGCCACATCAGCTCCTTGAGAAGCTCCGAGTTCTGGTCTACCCTTTAGCCAGGTGGACTCCGCAAGACAGAAGTCATACTAGGTCCCCACCTGTGCAGTCCCATCCCTGTGTGGAGGAGCAACCCCAGGTCTGGCTGCTGTCTGGGGCCTGTGATGTAGGTGCAGGCTGTAACATACCTTTTGGAGTACATCTCCTACTCACCCCTCCAGGTAGTCAGGACACGGGGCCTTCTTAGTGCTAAGATAGGCACAGCCAAGGCACCCTGTCGCACCTACAACCTGGTCCCACTCTCACATGCCTGTCTCTGGTTCTTGAATGCATCACTTGAGGGCCTTGTCTGACTGCTCCCCCAAACCCAGTAGGGCTCCCATTGGCCCCCTTTGTGCCCTGGGTGCCTGTCACCATCACTGCTCAGGCTTATGTCCCCTGCCTGGTGGCTGCTTTCTTGCTGGACTGTAAGCTGTATGGGGCAGGGACAGACAACCTGTGTTCATGTCCATGCCCCTGGGGCCTGGCTCTGACAGGCTCTCAGCCATCTGTTGGACTACCTCAGCACCCTGTGACTGCCAAGTGTGGAGGCACAGGTGACTTCATCTCTGTCTTTGCGGGAGGACAGAGACCCAGAGCTATCAGGTGATGTGCCAGGCTCACTTGCAGCCACAATGTCGGTCACATCGGGGTTTGCTCTGGGGTCACAGGCTCCTGGCGACTATGCTATATATTTACTGACAACCCTGGCTTCTTGGTGCTCTGTCCTGGGTGGTTTCTGACCAGAACATTAATGGCAGCGTTTTATAGAACCCCTAAGGAGAGTTTTCTGGGGGGAACCAGCATCCAGGGGTAACTGTAGACATTCCATCAGAAAACCTGGAGCTAGGAACTACTCCTTTACCTCAGCGACAAACACAAGAATTGGAATGCCCAAAGCTGGGGGGAAAAAACAAAGCTGGGGGACCAGATGAGGGACTGAAGGGAAGGATGAGAGGAGGGCAATGGTGGCTCCGCCCACAGCAGGTGGGGAGGAGGGGAGGGAGGGACCAAGCGTTGGAAGCCAGGTGGCACCAACACAGGAATGTAGCCAGACCCTGGTCTGTGCAGAGGTCCTCCGGTCACTGTCCCAGCGACATCCAGCTCTCTGTGCACCAGCCTGTCTCTGAGCTGGACATACAGGAGTGACAGAGCACCCCTCTGCCTTCATGGAGCTTGTGCTAGCTGGAGGAGGCAGAAGAAAATATGTTAGTGGATAAAGAACTGTAGATGGTGACAGGTGCTGAGGAGGCCACATCAATCAAAGGTCAGAAAAGGCCTCCCTGAGCCGGAAACCCACATGGCACACAAAGCTGGATGCAAAGATCAGGGAGGCCAGGTGGGGGCCCCAGCAGAAGCCCCAGCAGGTGCAGAGGCCCAGAAGTGGGAATGTGCTCCATGGCAGTGTGTACAACCAACCTGAACTGGCTGCAACAGGCTCGCATAAGTAAACCGGGCTCGTATATTCCCATCAGGGCACTCAGTGACGTGACACAGATAGCTGGAGAGCTGCATGGGGAGGGGGTTCACACCATGGAGGTGGGCAGAGCCACAGGGCCCATGCCTGGGCTGCAGATCCAGGAACCCGTGCAAGGCCTGGAGAATGAGCTGGGGAGCAGGGCAGTGTTGGAGCTGTGGAGGGAGCCGGCCTCGCTTCACTGTGTGGCCAGTCCCTGGAGGGCTTCAGGAAGAAGGGCAGTGTGATTTGATTTTACTGTGCCAGACCAAGTCTACAGAACTGACTCAGGTCCAGGAGTAAGTAAATGTGGGAGTCAGTGGCAGTGGGGGTAGGGGTGGGGTGTGTTAATGGATCAGAATTGGAGTCTAGGCAAGATGTGAGCCAGGAACCAAGACAGAACCCACAACCTGCAGCAGCAGCTTCAGACAGGAGTAGGGCCAGGGTGGGGCATGGGGCTGAGCTTTCATCTGGGGCAGGGGTGAGGTTGTGGGTGGAAGAGGCTGAGCCTGCAGATACAGTGGGACAGGAGGTGATGACCTCACATCTGCAGTGTGACAGCCACATCACTCAGATAAGGGATGACAGATGACAGCGGTGAGCTCTAAAGGCTCTGTGTTGATGCAGAAAAATATCCATAAATCTTCAGAACTCTCTCTAGCCAGGCATGGTGGTGCACACCTGTAATTCCAGCACACAGGAGGCTGAGGCAGGAGGATTGTTGTGAGTTCAAGACCAGCCTGGGCTACAAAGTGAGCTCAAGGCCAGCTTGAACTGCAGTGAGACCCTGTCTCAAAAAGACAAGAAAAAACAAAAAGCACTCCCCTAACTTCGTGCATACTTACCCACCATTTGTCCACTGGATCCCTAGGGAGGCAGTGGTTCCGCAGCATCCACCTTCTCACCACTGTCAAGGCCTGGGAACCACTATGATCTGCTCCCTGTGGTCATTAGACAGGGTCCTCTTAACCCTGGCTGAACATAGAGCCATGGAGGGGCTGATCCTGATCCAGACTCATTAAGCCCAGAGGCCTAGAGGATGGGGGTGCCGTGGGACCTCAAGAAGGTCCCTGGTGACTCTACAGTGGCCACAGTTGGGACCCACTGGGTTAGAAAGACTCACAACAGAGAAAGAGACCAGGCATTTTCCATGCATTGCTAGGGTCCTCTGTTCTATCACAGGCATGACGGCAAAGCCTCAGGCCATTCCTAAATGAAACCCTAAGTCCTCTGCTTTGTGGCCCCTCATGAACTACGTACAGCACCAAGTTGAACACTCTCCCATGTGTTCCCCACATTAACTGTTGCTGGATTGCTCCAGCAGCTGCTGTGGTCCCCAAGGATATGAGGACTGAGCCATCAGTCAGCCCTTGGGGTGCTGCCCCTTCTGGATAGGGAGATGATGGCTGTTTGGAGGTTCAGGCCATGCTGCTCGGCACTAAGGAAAATAAGGAAAGGAGCAAGGGCTGGGCCATGGGCTGCCATGGATGGCTGGGCAAGCAAGACAGCTGGAAAGCAGGGGGACCCCCAGAAGGCATGGAAGATTCTCTTGTGTTTTAGGAAAAGGCAGGGAGAACAGAGGCCAGAAGTGTTTTGGAAAAATGAAGTTTCTCCAAGAATAAAAAACAGTGGGCCGGCCAAATAGCTCAGCGGATTAAAGCACCTGCAAGCAGGCACAGGGGCTGGGATTTGATCTCTGGGCCTGCTGTGCGGGCCCTGCCCCTGGGGTGCACTGAGACTGGGTGTGGTGGCTTGCACCTGCAATCCCAGCACTTAGGAGACTGTAAACAGGAGAATCACTACAGTCCAATCTAGTAGTGAGACCTTGAACACCCTGTAGTCCCTTCCCTAAAATATAGAAGAAAACAAAACAAACAAACAAAAATCCCTGTGGCTATACAGCATGGCTGAAAGGAGGTGTGGGAATGGCACAGGCCTAGGAGTGTATGCAGTCACCAAAATAGATGGTGCATGTTTATTTTTTTAATTATTATAGTAAAAGACACATGGCCCTGACTCCCCATTACTTCCAGCACACTTGTCCCATCATTTTTGCCACTTTCTGAAGCAGTTCCAGAGGTCCTTTTTCATGAGTGTCTGTAAATTCTGTTGCCAAATACCATCCAATGGAAAGGCAGACTGGTAAAAACATGATACTGTGTCCAATCACCTAGTGACTGGATCTGGTGCTGCACAGCCTCTGGCTCTTCCCAGAGCCAAAGTGACCATGAAAGAGCAACATTTTGAGTTGATTCAGGATATCGAGGCAGCCAGGACAGCTAACAGCACTCACAAAAGAGGACTCCAGAACCTGGTATGCACTGAGCCCCTCCTTGGTGCTGCTGGGCTGGGATGCGTTTGGGGCTCCTGTCCTCAAACACCTGACCTCGGTTATATGGGAAGCTAAGAAGCCAGGCAGTAAGCCATGGCACAGTGAGGTGTGTGCCAAGGGCTCTATCCCCTCTGAGGTGATGTCTGTGTCCTGGGCCCTGGGGCAGCCCACTGGAGCCCTGACAGCCAGATAGGGGGACATACTCTGATTTATGTGTTTGCCAGCTTGCTGTGTGGCTTGGGCAGTTCAGGATGCTTCTGTGAATCTCATTCTATCTGCAAAGAAGTAAGAGACACAGTGAGCTCACAGGGAAGTCAGAGGTGGCCCCAGTCCTCCTGGCCACAAAAGCCAGCACAAGAATGACTGCCCTTCACATGCACACATTTAGCCTAACAGGTCCATTTCTTGTCTTTTTAGGGCTCTGGTCTTCGTGTCACATGGCGCTGGGGAGCACTGTGGCCGCTATGATGACCTGGCTCAGATGCTGGTGGGGCTGGACCTGCTGGCATTTGCCCACGACCATGGTGAGTACACGGTGCACTGTTGGCACTGGCTGGAGAGCGCCATTCTCTTTGGCGCCACCTCTATCCAGCTTCATAACTCTCTGCTCTGTACATTGTTCTGAGAGGGGGAAAAAAGCATAGCTGTGCAAACAGGAAAATGTGTCTGACCAGCAGTTTCTTTGGTGTCTGAGTCTGAATGTAGGCTGATTGGAAACCCAGAGTTGGATAAATTTCCACAAGAACCTGCCCTGGGCCACAAACCTGGTCTTGGATTTTACAGGGTGCTGCCTCATCTTCTCCCAGTGGATTTCAGATGGGTGCGGTGAGGCAGGGAAAGTTCAATTTAAACCACATCCAACCACAAGAATTTATAAAGCATCCGTGGGTGGGAGGATGTAAAAGTCTCACAGGGCATCCTGGCTGCAAGAAAACACCAGATATACACATGGACATGCGCACAGACATAGACGCAACACAGATACACCTTCATATGTAGTGCAGTGCCCACATATCCACATGCACACAAACTTACACAGGTATGCATATATGTACTCATACGCACAATGTGCACACATGCACATCTGCATGGGAACATGCACACAGGAATGGCCTACATGTATACACATGTACGCATGCACACATGTGCCTATACATGATACATATAGAAGTGAAAAATATGCACACATCCAGATCTATGCTCATTTGCACGCACGCATTCATGTACACGCACACACTTCTCAAGCCAGCTCATTCCTTGTCACGTAGCAAAGCCCACACCAACCAGCACAACAGTGTTCATTGCCCAAGTTGGTCTGTGGCCTCTCCATCATATTTGAGACAGTCCCCACAGCCTCCGAGTCCCTGTTAGAGTTCCCTGAGGCTGAGCATGGTATCACCTCAGTGCAAAATTATACCATTCTGGCCCAGATCCTGATGTGCAGCTTCTGTTGCATCTAATTTGAAAATAGATAATTAAAGATGTCGCCAGAAAGAGGAGCAGGAGAGCTGTGGCAGAGGCCTGGGAGTCCTGTAAAAGGACAAAAAGCTGCATGCAAGTCAACAGAAGCTAATGAGTGAGGCAAAGCCGGCTGGGCCATTTTGTACATCAAGATCTGCAAATTTGATTTGCTAAGAGGCCTCTTACCGCAGATATATGCAAGTATTTTCGTGATTGAGGATATCGACCAGATTCTTCTCTATTACAGTTGCAATGATATTCAGAGCTTTTGGGGATGTCCCAGGAATATTTGCGAGACCGAGAAATAATGTGCTAAGATTATCCCCGAGGCTTTTGCTGTGGGACTGTGTCATTATTCACTTGGGTATTTTTCACACTGTCAAAGGACCTGAGACAGGAATGCATTTGTTCTGATCACATTTGTTTCCATTGAGGTTAAGAAAAGCGCAGCTATACTGTGTGCCTCAGATTGCAAGTTTCTGCCTTGTGTCTCGGTCAGTCACCTTCTTATCAGATATACTTGGCCAAATCTGGAGGATTTAAGTAAATGTTGTGATTTATTTATTCCGTCTGACACTTGGAAAAACAATTTCAAAATGCTTCCTTTCTTAAAGGGAAAAAAGAAGCAAACCTTTCCCCTACTTTAATGGTCCCAGAATAACAGCTGATATGGGGGACGAGGCTGTCCTCAGTCTCCTAAATACAGGTGAAGGTGGCTGTGTTCACCTGACTCAGGTTCCTAGAGTGACTCTTTGGAAACCTCTGGTGTGTGCTAAGGGAGGCGCCTGATTCAGGAAATGGAAATGAGCCCAGGGGGCTGCGTGGGGGAGGTTTCCATGGTCTGCAGATGGGGATGACTTGGCACATGAGCAGGAGAAAGCAGGTGGGTGGGCAGCCGGGCACGGTCCCAGGCCAGCTGGAGAGATGGCCTGGCCTTGGGGATGCTTGTTTCATTCCTGTCTGGCTGGGGAACGTGACAGGCAGAGTAAGGATTGGAACCCCACGCTGCTGCTTCTAAGACCAGCTCTTTCTATGATGTCCTCCTGAAGTGTCCAGGCTTGGACCACCACTGGGATATATGCATGCTTCATGCATTCCTAATGGCTTTTTGCTGTGTCACCTGCCCATGGAAGGTGGGGTATTCACTGTGCCACTTGGGGGTGTCCTGATGTCTAGACACACACAGCTAAAAGCACCACCAAAGGCCTGTGGCTGCCCCAGTGCCAGGCTGGCCCAGAGCTGCTGTAGTGAGCCATTGCCCCCCCCCCACACACACACACTGTGGTTTGTTATAATGTTACTGTAACCACATCCAAGACACAAAGCAGGGCTCTGCCTCTGACACACCTGGACCCATGTCCCCATCCAACTGGGAGCCTCGGCTATCTGACCTGAGCTTTGTTCATCCATCCCAAGCGTTAATTTTCTTATCTGGCAACTGGAAAGCGCCCTTTCTTGCCTCAGTGTGGCCCAGTTGATATGCTGCTTCCCTGACTGGTTGTCACCCCCAGGCTCTGCCCAGGGCCAGCACAGCTGAAGCCGGGAGTCTGGGACCCAGGGTCTCCATCCAAGCCCTGCCACCTCTGGTCTGGTTCTCTGCTGGGCTCAAGAGGCTGCTGAGAGGAAGTGAAGCAATAGAGGAAAATGCTGTACAGCATAGATGGGGCTGCCTGTGATGGTCTCATCATAGGTGTCTGTAACCTAGTCTACAGACATGCTGGTTTCCAATAAACCCTATACTAAGCAATTTGAACCACATGGTTCTTGGTGCCTGACCACACCCTAGCATGTCACCACTGAGACAGAAAGCTAGGCACTGTGGTATGACAGTCTGGCCATACTCCTGAGCTCATTGGGTGGACCAGGATGGCCTATTTAGCTTTGTATTCCATAACTCAAAGATTAAAACCTTTGAGTTTTTACAGAGTGACCTCAGGGTTTTGAGCAGCTTGCCAATAGTGAAATCATAAATACTCTGAGCCTGTTATTCTGGCTACTGAGGAGACAAAGGCAGGAAAATCGAGTTCAAGGCCAGCCTTTACCACTTAGCAAGACCTTATTTATTCTGAAATAAGAATTGCTAGGCTATCACTGACAGGGACAGCAGCCCTGGGTTCCTTCACAGTACTGAACAACAACAAAATTATCCCATGATCTTCATACCCACAGTACCAGCTCCCGTCTCATGTCCTACTCTAGGGAACAGGAAGCAGGAAATTCTGTCATAAGAGACAGGAGGCAGAAAACAATGCAGAGGAAGGGGTGGCTTCCCCATATGCGGACAGCCAACTTTCCTAGAAGTGCCAGTACTTTGTCCTCTGACTGAAACTAGCTGCAAGGAAAGCAGGGAAGCATCATTGGCTCACTGCTGACCCAAATTATATATGACTCTGTGAGAGAAGCTGAGGATGGATGTTTGAGGTGGATTATTATTTAAGTTTATTATTTCCTGTCCTTCATACTTGATGTACAAGTATGTGTTTTCTGTATGTGTAGCTGAGTCACACTGCCTTCCACCTCATCCATCCCTGTGTTTTTTCATAAGACTGGAAGAGATGGTCTTAGGAGCGTCTTTATAAGTGTTGGCAAAGGTCTCTAACTGTGCCTTCACTCTGGGCAGGGCGTTGCCTTGGAGAAGTGCCAGGCGCAGTAACTTCTGACTTAAAGGACGCAAGACCTGGCTTCCCCAGGGGCAATAAGAAGCTCCTCTCTAAATGCATAACTTCACCATAGTCCTTATGTGCCATGTGGTAACTATTACCTCATTAGTAAGGCTGACATATACTGGATCTTAATACGCTGTCCATTAGCTCTTCTCTCTACCCTTGGGGGCTTCCCATCACCCTTGCGCCATCCAGAACTAAGCAGGCTTAGAGACATCACCAGTGTTTGGTGAATGACTAGATGATCAGACTATAGATTATACCAGACCAGAATTAGAATTCTGATCAGACCAGAATCCAATCAAGACCAAGTTAAATGAGACCAGAAATGTTTTAAATATAAGTAGTAAGACATCTGCATCCAAGTATCCACACAAGCAGGGCAAAATCAGGACTCCTTATTGTGCAGGGAATCCAGTACTCTGGTGGCCGACAGTCTGGGGCGCTGTCAAGGGAGAGTGTGGGTGATGTGGATGCCATGTAGAAAGAGAGGAGCCACAGGCCTGTTGCTGAGACAATGGCATGGCATCTCGGAGCCACACGGGTGTCTCAGGCTTGTGGGGAGTGAGCAGGGGGTCTTGTCAGGTAAATAGGGGCTTGCCAGGAGCAGGGCCTAGACCATGGAGAGCCACCCTCTCGCCTTGGCTGCCCTGAGAGTCCCTAGGGAGTGTCACTGAAGACCAGTGCCTGCCTTTTCTCCCTCATTCCCAACTCTGGTGTCTTCGGGGTTTTTAAATAACCCAGTGCTTCCCCAGCACAGCTCACATGGACAGCACCATTCTAGTCAGAGAAGGCCAGGCAGGCAAAAAGACTCAGGACTCTCCCGGGTCCCCCAGCTGCTCCCAGTGACTCACTGGAAGCCCCTCAGACTTGCATGATGCCTGGCCACTCGGACTGCAGACAGCGGGTCAGGAGGGCTGGACACTCTCCAGGGGCAGGAGAGGCAACAGGAAGCCACGGCCAGCACTTCCTCGCGGGAGTCATCAAGAATCTGCTGCCCTACAGCACCAGCTCCCTGAAGGGCATGTTTAGGTAGAGAACCCACTCTGGGGCCAGAAGCCCCAGGCCATCCTAGGCAACATCACAGAGAAGACAAACCCCCGCACAAATGTGCTTGTCAGGCCAGGACTTCTCCTTGTTTACAGGGTATGGGAAAACTGTCCCCAAATCATTAACAGTGAATTAGTCATCTGCAATTATTTGAGGGAAAGTGCTGATGGCTCTGTGTGTGTGTGTGTGTGTGTGTGTGTGTGTGTGTGTGTGACCCAGGGAAGAGAGAAGAGGAAGTTCGGAGGGACCGGCTGTGGGCAGCGTTAGGTGTGATTCTTGTTGAGATGACAGAAAAAGAATACTTAGAAAATCCAGAGAAATAAACAAAACAATGATGTATGTGTGTTTTC